TAAATTTAAACATTTATGCTTACTTTTTCTAAAGACAAGAGTCTTTAAGAAAACTCATAGAATGGTAATGAGGCCACTTTTGGACTGCAGAATCTGCCTTCCTAGCAGATCCACTGGGCCTTTTTTCTGATTGTACGATTTTGCGATATGTATCATGCAAGGACTTGAATTTTTTTTGCGCTTCTTCTGCACTTATTTTGCCTATAAAAAATTTACGTTTTATTGTTATTTTTTATGTTTATTTTTATTGTTTTATTGTTGTATTTATTTTTTATATTTGGATATATTTAGTATTATTTTTATATTCACCATTTAATGCCAAAGCTATTTCTAACCATAACTGTTGTTTTATTGTACATTTACGTTGCGCCAGGAGTAAAGAGTAATCCCACAATGATGGTCGTTTTTCCACTTCAAAAATTAAAAATTCTTCATCGTCAAAATTTAATTTATTTTCAAAATTTAATTTTGTACGTTTAGACATTTACTATAAGCAAATGACAATTTAAGCAAATGTCTAAACGTACAAAATTAAATTCTGGAAATAAATTAAATTTTGACGATAAAGAATTTTTAATTATAGTAAGAAGTGGTAAATAGCGCGCGCGAAGCGCGCGTTTGTATAAGTGCTAATTTCATAAAAAAAGAACTGTCGGAAAAATAAAATTACTTGCCGAATTTTACAAAAAAAGAAGTGGGAAAAATAAAAAATGTGCTGCCGTAACTTACAAACAGAAAAAGTCGTGAAAAAAAAACAAAAAAATGCTACCATAACACAAGAATTAATGGGCCAAAGACGAGCAAATAAAATTAATAGATGTTCAATAATTTATTCATTCAAAGCAATATATCGCGTACTAGTTTCAGCCTGCGCAGCGAGACAACCAATCAGTATCGCGGAAAAGCGACAACAAATAATTTCGAGAAATGCGAGTTATCGACTTTACATGCACTTTTTTAGATAGGATTCGACATTTTTTTTATAATACTAGCATTACAGACGCGCGCACTATTTAACTGCACTTTAATTATACATCAACTTCAATACATACAACTGTCAAAAGTCAATGCAATGACAGCCGCTCACGAAGTTAGCGCAGCAAGACAACCAATCAGCGTCGCAGAAGAGCCAACAATAAACTTCGAGACTTTAGAGTTTTCGATGGATTCGACTATCAATTTAACATGCACTTTTTTTAGATAGGATATAATATAAATTTTTCCTTTTTATAAATTTTTTAATTAATTTTTCTCACGATATTTGCCCCTTTTTATAAATTTGACAGGTAATTATTTTTATTTTTTTGACATCTTTTTGTTGCAGATTTCAGTAATCAAATTTTTTCCAATGGCATACATCTCTTTTTTGTACATTTTTGCAGCTCATTTTATTTTTTCTCTCTTATTTATAAAGTTTGCAGTAGTTTTATTTTTAACATCTTTATAAATTCTGATAATTAATTTATTACTCTCACATATTTGTTTTCTTACACAATAAGTTTAGCAATAAATTTGATAATTTTTTTATTTTTCTTGCAACATCTTTTTTTGTAAGTTTCGATAAATTATTTAATTTCTTTTATAATAACTCATTTTAAAATTAATTTTTTTATGATAATACAATTTTTTCGTAAGTATCAATATTGTTTTTAATTTTTTAACAATGTCCAATTTTATGTTGATTAAGAGGATCCTAAACCCTAGATCAAACTTCAAAAATCCGCTGTTTTACCGACAATTTGTGAGTATGTATGCGTGCGATATTGATGTAGTAGTATGTAGTGATGTGTCATGTTTATTACCACATCAATATATCTCACGCATACATATACACGAATTTGTAGGATACAAAGATCGGAAGAGCACACGTCTGAACTCCAGTCA